CTGTGGCACTCGCGGGGGTGTGACACAGCTGCGGTGCGGGATGTTCTCCCCGCTGTAAGTGCAGCGGTAAAATCCGTACTTCAGGGGCTCTTCGGGTTTTTGGCGTTTTTAGGTTCCTCAGGTTCTCTCTTGAAATGGGGCGAGCGAAAGCACAGGCGGCTGTTCGGAAAAGACATTTTAGAATGATGGAGTCTGGGCTCACATTTCAGTGCATTTTCTCTGTACTGCCCCAGTTGCATAAAAGGAGTTTGTAGCGGCCAGACATTGTCCCAAGAAATCCGGGCCAAGGAGGAGGTTCTCTGCGGGCCAGAGCAGTGGGTGGCTCCGTGGTGGCTCACAGGATCCCAGACTCCCAGAGTGGTGGGGTGGGCAGGGCCTGCTGGAGCTCCCCCATCCCACCCCCCGCCAGAGCAGGGGCACCTCCAGCAGTGGCACAGGATGGCGTCCAGGCGGGTTTGGGATGGCTCCAGAGGGGGAGACTCCCCCCCCTCTCTGGGCAGCCTGTGCCACTGCTCTGCCGCCCTCACGGGAGAGAGGTCACCTTTGTGCCCGTTCCCTCTTGTCCTTGCTCCTTTGGAACCTCTCCATTTGCGAATGTCCTGCTTTGTAGAGGGCATGGCAGGTCAGGCCTCGAGCTCCAGAGGGGCTGCCAGAAGAGCTCCTTGGACCATTCGCAATCCAGCTCTTACTGACTTTCTAAAAACCCTTATTTGGCTTATTTTTCGGCTGTGTTTGCCTGGTGAACTCTGCATTGCTGCATTCTGCTCATTTTGGTAGCTTCATTCAGAGCACTGGCTTTCAAGGAGAGATTCCCTTTTTAAGAGGAATGAAAGAGTTGCAGAGATTTATGATTGGTTGTGGCATTGCTGAAGGGGTTAACGGGAATGGATTAGGAGAGCGTTGTGGGAAAGCAGGTGGGACAGCGCCTGGCTCGGGATAAGCGGAAGGAAACACTGTTTTTCCCTTCTCTTTCAGGTCAGGCAGAAACAAAGTTAGGAAGCTGAGAGAGGTCAGCAATGATCCAGGGGTTTTTATTGCTCATAAAAGAGCTTTGCTGGTTTTGTTGTCCTTTTTCTGATGCAGGCTAAAAGGGTTTTTTTGCTGTTTTGTTTTCTGTCATGCTTTTTCTATGGACTAGATTTAGGCTAAGTCATCCTTTGGTCTGATCAGACTCTTATTCAGTTCCTGGTAAGACTTGATGACTTGTGCTACAGTAAAATAGTGATAGCTTCTTAAATGGGAAAGATATCGCCTTGCTGATTTCTTTCATTCCAGGAAGCATGTGAAGGTACACCCGTAAGAGTTTTATTTCTTATTCCCTCAAACTTGAAAAATTTATTAAAAAAAAAGTAATATGTCAGGAAAGATGGCGATTATTCTTTTTTTTCTGTCCTAGCCCCACCTGGAATATAATGGAAGTAAGCCGAACTATTATTTCTAGCCTAACAGGATATTATATCTGCATGTTTACCCCCACCATGAGCGTTTCCCCTGCTTGTGACATACGGATAGGAGTGAAAACATTTAAAATAAATGTATTTAGATGGATCCATACTGCAAACTCTAAGCTCCAAAAACCCAGCGCGGCTTTACGTGACTTGCTCCCGACAGTTAGTCCTGGCCGGCTGGCAATACCTGTGCTTGGGCCGGTCTGAGCGCCCGCTTGGTGGGCCCCTCCCGGTGCTGCTCTAAGCCCTCGTCACTGAAAGCAGGGAAGGGAAGAACCCACTCATTGAAGAACAAGAACTCGCAAAATACTGTTTTTTCCCTTTTATAATTAGTCCTTCTGTTTTCACTGGATTTCCTGTTATGTTCTTCCTGACAGTGTATCAGCAGTACTGGACTGTAATCGCATAATACCCAATACAGTTGTTCTTTCTTTCTCTGAACAGTGGAAATTTGTTTTGATAACAGACCTTCGCTCACCTGAGCGGTCTGGGAAGCGCGGCCGTGTGCCAGGTGTTGGAATTCAAACAGCTTTTCGTCGCTGCTTTGATGCTTATTGAGGATTCTGATCAAAAGTCATTATTTCATAAAAATTTCTAATGGGATGGGAGTAAAAAACCTTTATTAAATGGCGTGAATTCTGCATCTGAATGTAATAAAATAATAAGTTATGATATATTTTTAGGGATACGATATTAAAATGCATATTAATTAAATGAATAATGAAAACTTTTATGAGAATCTCTGCTACAAGTTGCAAGTAGCTGTTTAATCAAATTCTCTCTATGGAAAAATGCATTTCATTATAAAATAATTAGCACATCTATTGTGTTTTTAATACAACTTGTGCTAAAGTGTGTTTGATCTGGAGTTTGCTTGTGGCAATTAGCAATGAAGGAATTGAACTTTTTTACTTTATTCCGTGCTTTGTAAATTCTAAGTGCCATATCTGGGCAAAATTGACGTGATTTTTTTGAAGCGCTAGAATAATCTTGGGATTATATAGGGATAGTCATTATTAGCAGTGAAAAGAAATGGTAAGGAGTTGTGCTATCTAAAGCTACAAATTTAGGGGTCTTTCTTTTTTTTTTTCCTGTCACAGGTGGGTGCTGTTCTGTCATGTCCTAACTAACTCCCTGACTGCGAGAAGGCTGGAGCTTTTTGCGTGCGCCCGAGTGACCGTGTTTGGGTCCGTCAGCAGGAGCAGGTGAGGGGAGCGGCAGGTCGCAGGGCAGGGCCGGGCGGTGGTGCTGGGCTCTCAGCCTTTCCTTCCGCAGAGTGAGCGCTGATGGACCGCTCCGGCGGTGGGCGCATGTGGAGGTGCCGCGCAGGCGGGTGGTCTGTGCTGGCCCAGGGGTTAGTACTTTCTGTTCCTCAGAGTCCTTTCCCATTCCAGAGGAGTACTCTTCCAGTAGGAAAAAAGGATGGGATCTCGGTAAACACGGTGGTTCAAAATCACCCTGATGCCTGGCTGCTAAAATACCAAACGTCTGCTGGGAAATGGGATGCATCCCCTAGCACTGGCAGGCACGAGTCCCCCGAAGTCGGGGGGTTCAACCTTGCCAGCTGCTGGAACCAGATGGCACTGCTGGGGCTTTTCCTTACCCAGGAGCGTTACTGACAGCTTCCCAAAGACTGGGAGAAAACTGCTTTTGCAGAAAATCTTTTGGTGAATTTGTGTCTAGTCTGAGTTGGCTTAGAGAGCAGATACCAGTGTTTTTATGGTTGAGTTCCCTGTGCTACAAAGCCTGGTATTGTCTTCTGTGTGAAACTCATTAATGCACAGAACATCCAAACTTGAGATTAGCTTTTATGTAGTAAAAAAACCCAAACAGTACAGCAATATAAAAAGAAACTATCCAGTGCAAACACCTTTATACAGTGGAAACTGATACAGCGTTCCTTAAAATAGCTTTATAAAACAGGCTTAAAAATAGTGATTACAGGTAATACTATCTGGATGATGCTTACCAAAGTACTTT